TGATTAATTTAATCTATTAATTGCTCTCTCTATCGATTGAAGGCATAATAGTGAAGGCCCACGTCATCAAAGAAGATAAGCATCGATCATGTGTAGAGAAGATGCAAGACTTTTTACAGCCATTTACAGAGGGGTTCGAACGATGCGTTGGGTTATGGAGTGAGACGCTTAAACAGATTCGGCAAGAATTTGAAGACGAGAATCAACGGCGGATTCAAGAGAATGAAGAGACGAATCAAGAGAATCAACAGACGATTCAAGAGAATGAAGAGACGAATCAAGAGAATCAAGAGAATCAATGGCTGATTCAAGAGACTGAAGAGACGGATCTAGAGAATCAACAGACCATTCAACAGACGAATCAAGAAACGAATGGAGATACTGAAGAATCATCATTCATAGAAAAATGCGGTATGTATTATTTTAATATTTGCAATTTTCTCGAGTGACTTTGTAGAATTTGTTGGGTAGATGCCTGGCGCAAAAGTTGCTCTTTGGATTTCTTGCTTTTCCTTATAATTTGGTAAAAGTCATTTTTTGTTCATATGTTATAAGTTAAAAGGCAATTGGAAATTATGGATGGGGAATTATTCATGCAAAGTTGGGGTTCGAAACTTGCCAAGGTCTATAATGCAGATTGCTAGTGCAGTGAGCACTGCAAGTGCTTATCGCATCTACATATTCTTTAATAGCTTATTCATTCTGAATTTTACTAATTCACTACAAAGGTATTATATGCAAAATGATTTTTTAATCTATACATGAGTCTTTTTCGTTTCCTTTTTCCTTCTTTTTTTTTTTTTTTTTTGCTATGTCTTGATTCTTCTTTGTAGAATAATATAGCAAATCTATGTTCTTTTTTTAATCAACATAAAAAATTTATTTGGATTCTGATTTTTAATCAGCATACATATTTTTGTAGAATGAGTTATATGCTTTCTTTTTTGTGCTGTATCTTGATTCTTATTTGAGTTTCATAATGATTAATTCTTGCTTTTTGTTTTATAATTTGGATTCAATTCTTTTTTGCTTCCCATATATGCTGAGTTAAAATGCAATATTTTTGGCTAAAGATGATGGAAAAAGGATGTAATTATTATTGTCCTTACGACTTCATTCCTTCTGATTAATGAATATAATTCATTCATTGCAGTGATTCTATTAGTACTAATGGCATTCGTCATTATTGGTAAGCAACAACATCTACTCAATTAGCTTTTTTTCTTTTTTTCTTTTTTCATTTATGTTAATTTTATTTATAAAATTCATTCCTTCGGAATTTTAAATATTATTTACTTACTGCAGCGTTACCAATTGCGGTACCATTTCTTCTAATTGGTAAGCAATAATGTCCACTCAATAAAACTTTTATTCCCTTAATTTATTTTTATGTTATGTCTTCAGCAGCAAAGCTTATTAATGGATGTATATGTTATTCCTTTTGGTGTTTGTACTTTGGATTAAGGTCATTTTATCTTTATTCTTGTATTATGAGTTAAAAGGCAATATTTTTCACTAAAGATCATGGAAAGAGAATCAATTATATTGTAGTTATGAAACTCTCATTCTTTCTAATCTTGAATATAACTCATTCACTGCAGCGTTTGCAGTCGTAATCACGCTTGAAATGCTACTTTCAATGCTACTGCTCCTTGGTATATGGATCCAAGGTAAGCAATAAGCAACAGCATCCACTCAATGAGCATACACATTTTAGCTAACGGTTATAAAGGCAGTAAATTGCAAATATGAAACTCATTCTTTCTGATCCTAAATATATACTCATTCATTGTAGTGGCTCTACGCCTACTGGCTTCAATGCTCTCAAGGATCCTTGGTAAGAAATTATAGTACGTCTACTCAATGAGCCCTTTTCTTTTCTTCATTTTTGTTCTATGTCCTGATTCTTCTTTACATTAAAGTTATTTTTCTTCCTCTTTTGTTATTAGCAAAGAATATATACGATGGAAAGTTGATGGATAAGTATGCCTGTGAGGTTATATCTTTAATATGTCAGCCATTATCAGATTCAGAATTAGATCAGAAACATTTTGTGCAAAGTGGAGCAGCAGTGAACACAATCATCCATGCTATCAAGAACGACATCCCAATCATTGTGAAAGAAATTATAAAAGCTAATAAAAATATTTTTTGGAGAAGCTTAAATCTTGAAGATTCAAGAAACATGTTTGCTCGGGCTGTAGCACATCGTCAAGAGGAGGTGGCACACCTTCTTTATGAATTTGCAAAGGAGGATACAAACATGGTTATTACCATAGATAAAGATGGAAATAATATATTACATCTAGCAGCAAAGTTAGCCCCTCCTTATCAATTAGGTCGCATCTCTGGTTCAGCTTTTCAGTTGCAAAATGAACTACGTTGGTTCAAGGTAATTTTTTATTTTTATTGGTTTTTTCTAATTAAGTATTGAGAAATCTTATATAATTCCTTATTTCATATATTATGAAACACCGTAGGGGGTAGGAGAAATTGTTCCACGATCTTACCGCGAAAACAAAAACAACAAAGGGGAAACTCCTCTGGAAGTATTTGTTAGAGAACACAAGGATTTGCTAAAAGAAGCAGAGGAATGGGGGAAGAGAACAGCACAATCTTCTACAGTTGTTGGTGCTCTTATTATTACAATTATGTTTGCAATGGCTTTTACTGTTCCTGGTGGGAATGATCAAAGTACAGGTTTTCCCATACTTTTGCACAAAACTCCGATACCGTTTATGATATTTATGGTATCAGATGCCCTTTCTCTTTTTGCTGCATCCAGTTCAGTGATAATATTTTTGGGGATTCTGACTGCACATCATGCTGCTGAAGATTACCGCAAATACTCCCTCGTGATTTGGGGCCTTACTTTTCTCTTCATCTCTATTGCAACAATGACCATAGCATTTTGTGCTGCTCTTTTCATCATGCTACAAGGTCGATTGGTGGTAGTCATTCTTATAACTCTGGTTGCTGGTATTCCTATCAAATGGTTCGTGCAGTTGCAATTTCCTCTTCTGGTCGACATTTTTTGTTTGACTCTTGGGCCAAACCTTTTTGATAGGAGGGAAATGTCGTGGATGAACAGAATGATAAAAGGCGTGGTCGATTTGTGGATGTGGAGCGTTGGGCGCTTTAAATAAATGATTTTTTTAAAAAAAATACATGCCTGTTGCTTTGAATAAATGATTGTAGTCATAGATATCTGCCTATGCTTTGACTGTTGGTTATGGTTGGTTGTTTGATTGATTATACTTATGTATTTGCTTCGGATGTGATAAACATTTGGTTCCTATATATATATTTTTAAGATTTCAAACTTTTAAAGTGCTAAATTCTTCTTTAATTTTTTTTTATCGCCAATTTATTTGTTTCAGAGTAAATAAAATAATACTAGAGAGGTATAAAGAATTTTATATTACATAAGATCTTAAAATAACGCTTCTGTTTTAAGGACTTCTGTTTTAAGAGTTACACAAAACCTGTTGCAAATCCATTGTACCACGTATATGTAGCTACACACCTCCCGCGTGTCGACCATCTGTGCAGGTGGTCATCTCTAAATACACACCACTAAACAAACCATGAATCCCCACTACCCACATGATGAAAGATCTTTTACAAATAGGATATCTAAAATTGTTCAACAAAGTGGCAGATCTTGCCATGCAGAAAGTTTAATTATATGTGGAAAATTAGTTGAACTTGAAAAGAAAAGAACTCTAAACTCATCTCATTTTTTAATATAATTCGGTGTTCTAAATAAACTTAAAAAGAGATTTTTGTGTCAATTTGTGAACATGATTTTTGGCTTGGCTACCTGTAAGAAACTGAAAAGAAGGAGAAATATCTGAAGAAAGGTTTATTGCTTTCTTGAATTATACTGTATGTACAATGACCTATATATAGGTGTTTACAAAGGGAATATTCTAAGGTATAAAGTATACAAAGAGAATATTCTAAAGTATAAAATATTTACAATAATTCTAAATATAATTATGTTCACATCTTAACATCCCCCCTCAAACTCAAGGTGGTTGTGATGAAATCAACTTGAGTTTGGAAAGAAGAGTACGAAAGCGTCCAGGAAAATGAG